TCTGATAATTGAGGGTTACGGATCTTGCGCACAATCGTTTTCCATACTCCTTTAGGACTGCCTATATTGCTTCGATAGATGAACCTTGCTGTAGTGACCAGTCCACTTGATTTGTAGCTCAGGTAAGTTCATGGAAGCCAGTTTACAGTATTCCTAGGATGACTGCTATGGAAGCGAGTGTGACAGCAGCAGCTTTCGCCAAGCTAGGGCCACTGGATGTTCACTTGGTATTACTGGATTCATGCCTCACACTCCACGACAAGTTGTTAGCAGCTCGTCAACTTCAAATTCATACATGAGGGATCTGATTGCGGTTTGGTGCGAGTCCACCAGCATACGTGTAGTGCTGCCCCAATCTCAGATATCATCTCCGCACTCTCTGCTTCCAGATCACTAGGCCTGTAGGGAATTTGAACCTTTGTTCTATTTCTTTGACGTGTCAAAAGGACGTATGAGCTGAAAGCGATTACGGTTCATTTTGTCTTGGGTATTTTGCAACTAGTGCAAACGGCAGCTTCACATAAAACAGTAAATCTCACCCACCCACATTTCGCCAACACTCAGGTGGATCGAGCTTTAGGGCACACGTAGAACATCCGCATTTTTTTTGGTAGCAGAAGTCTAACGAAATAGGAAAACAAATCTATACCAGCACGTCACCATGATCTGTTGTTGTTCGGTCGTTGTGGGAGTACGATTAGCCGCTCAGCTGTACATCCCGTGGAATTATATCGGAAGTTAAAAGAGTCCCAGAGAGTCCCACCGGCCACCGGAAATTAACTAATGAGCAATACTTTACGCTTGTTAAGTCATTCGCAACTACTGAATGTGTCATGACCGTGGAACAAACGGTTGAACGTGAATCCTCAGTGATCTATTTACACAGTTTCCATGGATACTTAAAATACCAAAAATTCTAGTACCATGGCATATTAAGGTTTTCCAAATTGGCCGGATACGTATCTGGGCGATAAGGAATATTTAAACATTCAAGTCTGCCAAGGCGGGGAACTCAAGTCAAGTCAATAAAATGCTTAATACACCAACAACGCTTGAATATTCAGCCGTAAACAGACTGGCTTAATCAAATAAATGCATCGTACGCGCTGGATTCTTCCATCACCTTTCTTTCTAAAATGGGTGATTAGATTTGACCTAAACGCTTCTTTATCTACTTTAGGATTCTTTTACCATACCAATACTCTAAAATTCCTTCTCGTGCTCATTGCGAAACTGATATTGATTTAATTCTCCAAGCTGATGGAATAAAATGAGATTTGATAAAATCTGTTCAAAAGGCACTGCACTCAGCTTTCTTTTTATTTCTCTATTCTGCTGGAATTAACTCCTTAGGCGGCCGCGCACTTGCAAATAGATCCGATGAGCCTCCAGTAGCTGGTAGACATTGTTCCGGACTCGTTTATGCAGAAGTAGCATCTCATATTTTCACCGCCTAATTGTTACGAATTCTTATTTTGCTAAGGTGGTTTATGTGAAGGTAACATTCAGTCTACAACAGCGTTGTCACTAACCCTTTTATCATTTGCTGGGATAACATTAAGCAACTGTCGAAGCGCCATCAACATTTGAACACGGTAGCCAGTGCATTATGCACTGCTGTCGAGATGTTGCAAACCACCAGCCAAAAACGTCGGCATCGACCCAATCTGAGCTGGCCTTTGTCGAAATCGACGAGGGTCATTAACATATTTCAAGGACACATGCACCGCAATGCGTCCTCACGTCGTATTCACACCCCCAGACATGCGTGGATGAGTAAATACAGTAGACGTACATGCCATTGGTGGGTCGGCAAATTAGTGCGTTCCAATCTACCCCTGACCAACGCGGCGACTGAGCAAAAACGA